GGATAAAATTAATTTCCCAAGACTTTTATGTATACTCTAGAAGTCTAGAATATCCCATTTGTAGATGTTTTTCCAGAAAGAATGAACATGGAACTGGAGAAGCCAGATCATCTTTCTCTGCATTATTAAGAACATTTGTGATGTTCTGTTTGCTTTGTCTATGCCATTTTACTAAGTTTTTCTTAAAGACTGCATTGCAGTAAGTTACACAGAGGATAAGAAAAATGAGTCTATGTGGGAAACAATGCAGAATCAATGTAGTACAAAATCAAAAGGCTAAGGTAATGGAACTGATCACAGATTTAGAAAACAAATACTTTTATGTGTGTTTTCTAAGTAATTTACTCCTTGATTGCCCAGTGTCTTATATTTTGTATTGAACTACTTCAAGCACTGGAGAATCTTTTGGTTTATGTTTTTTTTTTATGGAGTTTCCAGCATTCTTAACTGACTTTAATGCTCAAAAAAAAATAACAAGACATAAAACAAGCAACAAAAACAATGAACAAGGCCAGAGTCCTGGTCGGGAGTCATTTCTATGGTGGTTAATTTTGTGTGAACTTAACTGCCCAGAGGGCAGCAGCAAAGCACTTGGTAAAGCATTTTTTTCTGGGTTTATCTGAGGTTGTTTGTGCATGAACTTAACATCTGAATGGTGGACTGAGCAAACGGATTTGTCTTCTCCAATGGGTGAACCTCAGCCAGTCATCCAGTTGACTGAAGAGCTGAGCAGAGCAAAAAGGCTGATTAACGAGGAACTCTCGACTGATGGGTTGAGTGAGCATTTGTGTTTTCTGGACTTCAGAGTTGGGCTGAAATTTTGGCCTACCAGGGTCTGGAGCATGTTAGCCTTTGTAATGGAGCTCAGCCTACGAGCATCCCTGCTTGTCTGTCCTTTGGAGTCAAAGCAGCATGGCTTGTTGGCTCTTCTCTGTCTAGCCAGCTGCACATCTTCAGCCCTCTACCTCTGTAATCTGTGATCCAGTTCCTGACAGGAAATCTCTTTGCCTGTATAGACATTTCTAGTGCATTTTCTCAGGAAAACTCAGACAAAACAGGGCCTCAGGAGACCATCTCTTATTCCTGGAATTATATTTGTCTCTACTAATCTGTATTAACAAAGATATGATCTCAAATCTGCTTCAACTGCTCAAGACCGTTCTGCAGATAGGCTATAGTTAAATATTTTTATTTATTTTCTTACTTTCTCTATGGGATTTGTTTCACCTTCCACACCTTCACTGTGATATTTAGTTTGATAGCAGAAAAAGAAGCATTTATTAAGCTTATATAGACCTAATTACATGTAGGTTAATTGTCCTTCATTTTATCTGCACAGAGACCACAGATAATAATTCGTAACAATTCTCTTTTTTATAATAAAGAACACTGAAAACAGAAAGATTAAATAAACCCTCTGGTTTGCAGGCATGCTTTTCATAGAATTCAGCACCAGTATTTGAATGCAAATTTGGATGATGTTTTGAATTAATATGTGACAGAAGAAAAGGAATAAGTTATGTTTAATGCTCTAGATTTTTGCTTCAGCGACCTGAGTGGAACATAAAATGTCTGCAGAGATAAACAGTGAAATAAACTAGTGTAACCCACAGAGGCAAATCATTGAAGAGTTCAGTATTGCAGCTACCAGACACAGACTTTTACAAGCTTAGAAGTTCTTTGTCCTGTCCATCTATCCCCCAGCATCTGTTCATTTTCCTCTCTCCATCCTCCTCTTTCCTTCCCACCTCCAGTTATTCACAACACAAAGAAATGATAAATGTTTGAGATGATTCATCAGCTAATTACCCGAATCCAGGCACTGCACATCGTCAAGAGATACTGAAATATCACTGTGTACCCTATAAATGTGTACAGTCATTGCATGCCAGATTAAAAATATTTAAAAACTCTATCTAAACACATGCACTGAAACAATCAGCACTTGCCATTTTCAAGTAAACAAATGCCAAGCTTAAAAGATGTGGGGGGGCTGAGCAATATCAGGTAGTAATCAGGGGATATCTAGTAAGAAATAAATAGGAATTTTAGAATTTAGAAGTATAATTGAAATTGGGAGCTTGCCAGCAGACTAGATACAGCTGAAGAAAGAAAAAATAAACTGGAAAATAAATATAAGAAATGATTCTGAGTGTAATACAGGGACAGTATGGACAATAAAACATAGAATACATTAGTAATGATAACAATTTATATCTAATGTTAATTCATTGGAGTCTAAAGCACAATGGAAGTAGGCAGAGGTAATATTGGAAGCAATGAAGATGCAAACATGTTCATACAGCCTTATTCATTTCTACCGACGCCAGCTGCTCCCTTTTGGTTCTCTAGGACAGGACCTTAGACATCATAGACTTCTTTCTTTCTCTGTACATCACATCGTTGTTTTTGTAAAAAGAAAACTAGTGTAGATTGGCACAACCATTTGATGTTTTAGACCACACTAGATTCACGGGAGGACTGAGCGAAAGTTTGGAGTGTCCGTATATCTCCGGTGTCTCCTCCCCACTACCAGCACCCCTCACTGAAAATGGTGCATTTGCAGTAAGTGATACACACCCGCACGGGTACCCCATTATGACCAAAAGTTCATAGTTTAATTTAGCGTTCACCTTTGGAGCTTCACGTCATTGGTTTAGAATGATGTATAATGGCATAACCCAAAGAATACCTCTGGGATAGTTTCACTGGTGTAGCTGTCCTCTGTGCCTTGTCTGTTTGCCCTCTCTTTCCACAGCACCAGGCAAGATTCTTTTGTTTATCTTTGTGATATAACATCGTACTTGACATAACTACTCCCAGTACATTTTTTTTTAAGTCTGGTTGGATTATATTTATCTTTGTGATGTAACGTAGTGCTTGACACAACTACTCCCAGTACGTTTTCTTTAAATGTGGTTGGATGATTGAGAAGAATGAAAGGTGAGAGGAGAGAATCAGAGCAATGTGCTATCATCCTGCTAACTAATGCCTTTTGTATTTCAATATTTACCCACTTAGATGACCTCACTCATTCTAGGATACTAACAAGTCCACATTATCTATTAAATCTTAGAAAAGTGCTCTGGACAGTTCAAAACTTTTTATGAATGATCCATTTAATTTAAATGTGCCACATTTGAATTTTTTGATTCATGATTCCCCAGTGAGATTGAATTAATTGTGTGTATTTGTATATGTGCATGTGTGTGTATATGTGTTCATGTGATGTGTGCAGGGGTGTGTGTATATGTGTGTACATGCATGTTAAGGCCAGAGCTTGTCTTCAGGTATCCTTCTCAATTACTTTTCTCCTTAGTTGTTGAAACATTGGCTCTTACGGCATCTTAGTCTTTTTACTTGGCTGTGCTGACTGGCCAGTGATTTCCAGGGATCCTTTGTTTCTTCTGTGACCCCACTGAAGTGCTGGAATTACAGATACATGCCATTGCCCCATCTTTTACATGGGTATTAGGGATCTGAATTCGGATCATCATGCCTGTGCAGCAGTCACATTATTGACTGAACCATCTCCCAAGGTCCTGAGTTGCATTTTCACCTGTTGGACACAATCTTAGGGAAATTAATTTCCTTTCTTTTTATGAACAGAGGTGCCTTCATAAATTATCCCTGTTCACTTGTGATTATAAGTAATGGCCATAACACAGAGAAACATGACTGTATATAGTAAACACAGCCTCAGTCTAATTTGCATTAGTTCATCTGTCTGGGACATAAAATTATTGGGACATACGTGTAAACATAACAAAAGTGAACTTCTTGCAGATATACACTTGCAGTAGTTTTCATGAAAGGTATGAAAGACTGCCAGTTTATTATTAAGCAGATAAACTTTCTGTGTGCTAACCAAAGTTAACGCTATTTTCCATCCATTTCAAAGTATTCCAGACATTTCCAAACTGTGCCTCTGATGTTATGTTGTTTAAGTATAAATTGAAAATGAAAATATTGCACAAGATGCTGAGTTCCAAGTTGTTTCTTTTAAAACTTTCTGTTCTTTCCACCGACAAATGCTAAACACCAGGGAAGGTTCACTTAGATTTTGAAATTTCATTTATTTTAATTTTGAACACATAGGCTTATATGATTATCTAGTAGTGATAAATTTGTTTATGTTTTATACAAATGTCAGTTTTTTTTATTAAAGTTCAATGATATAGGAATGTCTGGGTAAAGTTGTTTTAGGGGCTTGAGTTTGGGTTTTAGGAATCAAGCAGATACGAAATTCCTCTTAATAAAAATAAGCTTTCATTAGAAAAATTATGGGAAATGTTAGCCAGACCCATCATATTGCGGTAGTGGCGCACGCCTTTAATCCTATCACTCGGGAGGCAGAGCCAGGCGGATCTCTGTGAGTTCGAGGCCAGCCTGGACTACCAAGTGAGTTCCAGGAAAGGCGCAAAGCTACACAGAGAAACCCTGTCTCGAAAAACCAAAAAAAAAAAAAAAAGAAAAAAGAAAAACTGTATTCATTTTCAAAGTAAGGTTGTGGTCTTTCATATAGTGGTGGTAGTATTAAGAACTGTGGAGGGGCCGGGTGGTGGTGGCACATGCCTTTAATCCCAGCACTCGGGAGACAGAGCCAGGTGGATTCAGTGAGTTCGAGGCCAGCCTGGTCTACAGAGCGAGATCCAGGACAGGCACCAAAACTAAACAGAGAAACCCTGTCTCAAAAGAACAAAAACCAAAACAACAACAAAAAAAAGAGCTGTGGAGGATGATCTGCCACTGTAAACTGAATATTGCTCATTCAGGTTGGAACAATACTGCAAGGATTAATATTCACCATCTTCAAGGAAGACAGAGCAGTCAGTATGTATTTTCTTTAAAATACATCACTGAGCGTATTCTTAATTATGATATTATAATTGATATCAGTTTTAAGTTGAAATCTCAATTCACATTCACAGAAATAATTCCCAAGTCTTGAGAGGTAAACAGACTGATTAAGTTCATGGAAGTTCTATTTTTATTCACAGATAATGCCTCTGAGGTAGCAATTACTGCTCCAGGAACTGGTCACCATAGAAACAGCTCTACAGGCCCAACACCTGACTGCTCACCTCCATCCCCCGACACTGCCCTAAAAAATATCGTGAAAGTTATCCGACCCCAGGTAAGTAAGTACCCAGAATGACATCATGTGCACTGTAACGTTTGGTTCTGAACGAAGACCTGTAAACACTTCACACCGAGTGGGGGCTATTGTATAATGTATAATAGATTTTTGCATTAAAAGAAGAGACTCAAAACAGGCCGATTGTTTCCTACAAAGTTCATAATAGACACTGAGATCTCTATTAGTTCTTGGAACTTTTGTATTAGGAGAAGGATTAAATGCAGATCAGAACCACGGCTGTTTTGCATTTTCCTCTCAGCACTTGAGTAACGCTGCCGTGGTTCTTGAGCTGCTGCTGTGTTCTGAAGCTTTTCCTGGACACAGTACATTGTTTGTGCTTGTTTCTCTGTCCTCAACCCCAGTGAAATTTATACAGTTGCTCTCAATTGCTCGGTCTCTTAAGGCTTCTAAGACGGTGTTAGGTACTGCACCACCCTCCTCCATACTGTCCTCCCGTGTTCTTGTTCTCAGTTATCCGTCTTTACCTTTTGTTCTTTCTTTTTTTTTTTCTTTTATTCCTGTCACTGTCTGTATGCTTTTCCCCCTCATCCCCCTTCTCTTTCTCTTGGATTTCCCAGTAGGCGGTTTGCAGGCAAGCTTTAGAAATATCATTGGGACAAGCTGTTCTGTGATATTTCATTGAAAATAGCACTTATAAAGCTGTTTGCATTATATTTTTTGCCAACAGATGGACCTAGAACATGGAATTGGTGGTGTTCTCAACCTGGCTCATTCTGAATGGGCTTCATAAAATCCAAGAAAGGGGGACTTAACGTCCAATCAGTGCCTCTCAGCATCTCTGAGACATAGAGCATGAATACATTCTTGAGCCAATCTGTAGTGTGATCTTATGTCTAAGACCTCTATAAGCAATGATTTGTTTAATTAATGACATTCTTCGTTATAAGTTACTTTAGATTATTTTATGGCAGTCCTATCCTCATCAGTAAATAGCATTTCAGCTTGAGATATCCAGTGTAGTTTGTAAAAGGCTTTTGTATAAATTATGTTATTTAAATGTCCACTGATTCCCAGGGAATATGTAGGTTAGTGTTGTAGATAAAGATCCCGGGGTTCTAATGGGTCAGAACTGGCCGTCCAACGGGGAGTTCCTTTGCTTTTCTTTAACATAGTAGCTATTTCAGCTCATCAACACGAAAACCAGAGTCATGTGGTGAATGTCTCATTTATTCTCCCTACTTCTCTATGTAAGTATTTTGATATTCCTACGTAAGACTTCTTGGTCATTCATGAATGAAAAACAGATTCCTTGGAGATACTGGATAAGGATTCTCTACTAAGAGAGAAGAAGAATTAGTCTTTCCCAGGGATGAACCTGTTACTTAGTTATCCAATGCCAAGGGGTCCATCTGAAATCATGTACATGCAAGCAACACTAAGTGGACTCAGCAGTTTGTCTACACACACACACACACACACACACACACACACACACACACACACACACACACACACACACGCTCACGTATCTAACAACAATAATCATAGAAAAAGAGGACATGAATTTGAGGGGGCTTGAGGAATCTGGAAGGATTGGAGGAAGGAAGGGGGAAATGATGTAATTATATTTTAACAAAACAGAAAAGAGAAAAAAACCTTCTTGCTGGCTGTGGTGGTATATGCCACTGATCTCAGTACTTGAGAGGCAGAAACAGGAGGGTCTCTGTGAGTTCAAGGCTAGCCTAGTCTCTACACACTAAGTGAATTTCAGGCTGGCTTGAACTCTGAAAAACTAATCTCTACATATTTTATTTCCGGTTAGATTATTTGGTAAACTGAAAGAAACTAGAGATAGCAGAAATACCATCTTGACTCTATTTCTTGTTTCTCCCTGTTCTTCCTATGACTTCTGAGTTCTTTGGTCCTCAGTCACTATAGAGAGAAGGAAGTAGAAAATTCACATGGAAGTAATTATGAAGGAATATATGATACTACTCCTGGTTTCTTTTTTCCGCCATTTTTCTCTTTACTGAAAATGGATTCTTTCCTCATACACTATATCCTGATTACAGTTCCCCTCCCTCCACTCCTCCTAGTTCCTCCTTACCTCCCCTCCCCTCCAGATCCACATCTTTTCTGTCTCCTATTGGAAGAGAACAGGTTTCTAAGAGATAACAACCAAACCTGACAAAATAAAATATAATAATGTAAAGCAAAACCCAGCATACTGAGGCTGGACAAGGCAAACCAACAGAAGGAAAAGAGCCCCAAGAGCAGGCACAAGAATCAGAGACCCACTTGTTCACACAGGAATCCCATAAAAATACTAAACTGGAAGCTATAATACATCTGCAGAGTAACTGTGACAGACGGGTGTAGGCCCTGTGCTTTCTGCCTCAGTCTCTGTGAGCTCATATGCACCTTGCTTAGTTGTTTCAGAGGGCTTTGTTCTCCTGGCGTCCTCTATCTCCTCTGGCTCTTCCACTCTTTCTGCCTCCTTTTCTGCCAGTTTCCCTGAGCTCTGAGGGGTGGGATTTGATGGAGACCTCCCATTTACAGCTGTGTAGTTCAAGGACTCTGTGTGTAATGTCTGGCTGTAGGTCTCTGCATCTGCTTCCACCTGCTGCAGGAGGAAGCTTCTCTGATGAGGCATGGAAAAGGCACTTACCTAGGAGTATAGCAGAATATTATTAGGAGTCAATATATTGATACTTTTTCCTTTAGACTAGTAGTGTTTGGTTTTACCCTAGGTCTCAGGGCTATGTAGTCTCTGGTTCTTGGTCACCCGATCAATGTTGGGTATGGGTTCTGTCTTGTGGAGTGGGCTTTAAGTTAAATCAAACATTGGTTGGTTACTCCCACAAGTCCTGTGCCACCTTGTTCTAGCATATCTTGCAGGCAGAACATATTATAGGTCAAAGGTTTTGTGGCTGGGCTGGTTTCCATGTTTCTCTCTCAGTAGTCTACAGAGTACCTTCCCACACCAAAGACACTAGAATGTAGGGGTGAATGCTTCATGTAGGCACTATCTGGAATTCTCCATGTTCAATCAGTTGTGTGGGTGTTGTCCTTGGCAGTGGGGCCCTGATGTCAGTTTGCAGAGAGCAACCCTTTGTCTTAGCATCAGCCTAGGTTGTTTGGGGATTACCATGGGACACCCCCCACCTTGGTCAACAACCCAATCGAATGTAACCCAGCTCTGGTACTGGAAGCCTCATTTGGTGACAAGAGATGGCCAGACAGGACTCCATATTCCCCCATTATTATGAGATCTCTTTAGGCTCATCTTCATATACTTTAGGAAGTTTCTACTGCACTAGTTTCCATAAAGTCCTTCAAATGTCCCTCAATTCCTGCTGGCTTTCCTCAGATTCCCTCCCTCAACCTACCTCCCCTTCCCCTCCCTACCTGGTCCCCCCATTTCTGTCTTACTTGCCCCTAGCCCACCTTTAAAATCTATTCTATTTCCCTCTCCATGTGTGCCCCCCAGTCCCTTCCTCTATACCTAATCTTTCTGGGTCTGTGGATTGTAGGCTGGTTATCATTTATTTAATGGCTAATAGCCACATATAAGTGAATGAATGCATAACATATTTATCTTTCTGGGTCTGGGTAACCTTACTCAGGATGATGTTTTTTCTAGTTCTATCCAATTTCCCTGCAAATTTCATGATGCCATTTTTTTAACAACTAAGTAATACTTCATTGTGTAAATGTACCTCATTTTCTTTGTCAGTTTTTCTGTTGAGGAACAGCTAGGTTGTTTCCAGTGTTTGGCTATTTAAAATAAGGCAGTACTTAAGAGCATCGGTGCAAAAATATCCAATAAAATATGTGCAACAGAATCCAAGAACACATCAAGTAGATCATCCACCATGGTCAAGTAGGCTTCATCCATGAAATGCAGGGATGGTTCAATATACAGAAATCAATAAATTTCATTCACCATATAAACAAACAGAAAGAAAAAAACCCAAATGATCATCTCTTTATAGGAGAAAAGGTCTTTGACAAAATTCAACACCCCTTCATGATAAAAGTCCCGGAGAGAGTAGGGATACAAGGCACACACGTAAACATAATAAAGGCATTTCACAGCAAGCCGGCTGCCAACATTAATTTAAACAAAGGACTGCTGGTTTCATGGAAGGTCTTGGAGACCTGAGGGTATGCAAGGAGCATAGCTAGATGGTCGAACAGAAGACTCTCCTGTGTGAGCTCCTGTAGTCAGAGCTGGGGATGAAACATTGTTTCTAAGGAAAAGACAGCTATTGGTTAGTTTATAGAAGGGAACAAGTTTAATCCTCTAAAGTGCTTGCTGATTTTAGCTTTCTATCTGGAAATACAAGAAATTTGGTTAGAATCATTTGTGGGTATTCAGGGTCCATTTACTAGTAAGAATTTTTTTTTTTTTAAAGTTAGAAATCAAAGCCATGGTCTAGCTAATGCCAGGAAACAGTTCTACCATTGATCTATGTTCTTAGTCCTAAATAATAAATTAAAAACACAATTGAAGTAGAGTTTCACTTTTAAAACTAGAAATGAGAGACCTTCAAGTTCAGTTCCCAGATATGATGGAAGGAACTGATTCCTGGAAGTTGTCTTCTGACCTCCACATGCCCATCATGGTACATACACATCCATACTCACTCCGGTATACACCACACACACACTCCTGTACACACCACACACACACACTCATACCTGTACACACCACACACACACTCACCTCACACGTTTACACATCACGCACACTAACACACATGGACATACACACAAACATACATGCACAGACGCACACACACAACATGCACAACACACACATACACATAGACATGAACCCATGACACATACACACATGAATACAACACACATGTATGTACCATGCACACACATACTCACACATGTACACACCACACACACTCATATATGTACACATCCATACACATCCATACTCACACATGTATACACCACACACATACACACCACACACTGAACATACACGTACACACTACACATAGACACACACACACACA